GGGGCAGCGGGGCAGACCCTACGAGACCTTGTCATGCATCTACAGATGCATCACAAGCAGGCCTAGGGAGGTGATCCTTCTGCTCTATGCAGCATTGGTCAGGCCACAGTTTGAGTACTGCAATCAGTTCTGGGCGCTGCACTTCAAGAGGGATGTTGCTAGCATTGAGAGAGTCCAGAGGAGGGCCACTCGCATGGTCAGGGGCAGCGGGGCAGACCCTACGAGGAGATGCTAAAGGGCCTGAACCTATTCAGCCTCCACAAGAAAAGGCTGAAAGGGGATCTGGTGGTCGTTTACAAACTCACCAGGGGGGACCAGCGGGAATTGGGGGAGGCTCTGTTCCCCCAGGCACCACCTAGGGTTACTAGGAATAACGGCCACGAATTGTTAGAGAGAAGGTTCAGGCTGGACATCAGGAGACATTACTTTATAGTTAGGGCTGCCAGGCTCTGGAATGGACTCCCAAGGGAGGTGGTACTGTCTCCTACCTTGGGGGAGGTCTTCAGAAGGAGGCTGGACAGATATTTGGCTGGGGTGATATGACCCCAGCACCCGTTCCTGCCTGGGGAAGGAGGGCAGACCTGATGATCTGTTTAGGTTCCTTCTGACCCTAAGCACTATGATACTATGATACAATTAGTTTTAAACCAGTCACCTACTAATTCCAGTGGGTGTCCCCTACTTCCAGCATTCTGGGACTTGGTGAACAGTTCCTTATTTAATTCATCCATACCCTTTATGACTTTATAGACCTCTACTATATATCCCCCTAAACCTTGTGCTTTCCAAACTGATGAGTCCCAGCCTTTTTAGACTTTCCTGGTATTGCAGCTCCTTTAGGCCCCTGATCATTTTGGCTGTCTTTCTCTGTACCTTTTCTAATTCTACTACATACTTTTTGAGATGTGGGGGACCAGAACTGCACACAGTATTCAAGATGTGGGTGCACCATGGATTTGTATAACAGCATGATGATGTTCTCACTTGTTAATGATGCCCAACATAGAATCAGAGAAAATTTGGGTTCAAAGGGACCTCAGCAGGTCATCTAGTCCAACCCCTTGCTCAAAGCAGAACCACCCCCAACTATATGTCATGTCAGACCAACCTGATTGCCTTTTATGATCAGGTCACAAAAGCATTGGATGCAGGTGTTGCCGTGGATGCAGTCTTTCTGGACTTCAGTAAGGCCTTTGACACTGTCGACCACCCCATCCTTATTAAAGAACTAGGTGACTGTGGCATGGATGCCTACACGGTCAGATGGATTGCGAATTGGCTGAAGGGTTGTACTCAGAGGGTGGTGGTGGACGGGTCATATTCGACCTGGGGGAAAGTGGGCAGCGGAGTCACCCAGGGCTCGGTCCTTGGGCCCGCGCTGTTCAATTTCTCTCTCAGCGATTTGGACGACGGGGTGAAAAGCAACCTGTTCAAATTTGCTGATGACACTAAAATGTGGGGTGTGGTGGGCAAGTTAGCAGGGAGGGAAAGACTGCAGAAAGACCTGGATAGGTTGCAAGGGTGGGCTAACAAAAACAGGATGCGTTTCAATACTGACAAGTGCAGGGTGCTGCACTTGGGCAGTAGTAACCAGCAGCACGCTTATAAGATAGGAAACTCCCTTCTTGAGAGCACGGAGGCAGAAAGGGATCTTGGAGTCATCATTGATCCCAAGATGAACGTGGGCCAACAATGCGAGGTCACGGTCGGCAGGGCTAACCGGACCTTATCGTGCATCCACGGGTGCACCCTACAATGAGAGGCTACGGGACCTGAACCTGTTCAGCCTTCACAAGAGAAGACTGAGGGGGGACCTGGTGACCGTCTATAAACTCACTGGGGGGGGCCAGAAGGGTTTAGGGGAGACCTTGTTTCCCCTAGCGCCCCCCGGGATAACAAGGAATAACGGCCACAAGTTGCTGGAGAGTAGGTTTAGATTAGACATCCGTAGGAACTACTTCACAGTTTGGGTGGCTAGGATCTGGAACCGACTTCCAAGGGAAGTGGTGCTCGCTCCTACCCTGGAGGTCTTTAAGAAGCAGCTTGATGCCTACCTGGCTGGGGTCATTTGAGCCCAGTTTTCCTCCTGCCCAGGGAGGGGGTCAGACCTGAAGATCTACAAGGTCCCTTCCGACCCTGCTTCTATGATTCTATATCATCCCAGCCAAGGCTTTGTCTACCTGAGTCTTAAAAACCTCCGTGGATGGGGATTCTACAACCTCTCTGGGTGGAGAAAAATTTTCCCTTATGAGAAAGATTTTCCTAATATCTAACCTCAACTTCCCTTGCTGCAACTTGAGACCATTGCTCATTGTTTTGTCATTTGCCACCACTGAGAACACTCTAGCTCCATCCTCTCTGGAAGCACCCTTCAGATAGGGGAAGGCCATTTTTAAAATCCCCCTCAGTCTTATCTTCTTCAGATTAAAGTCACTCAGCTTCCCATAAATCATGCTCCCTAGCCCTCTAAACATTTTCATGGCCCTCTGCTGGACTCTGTCCAATCCTTTTTGTAGTGGGAGGTCCAAAAGTGGACACAGTACTCCAGATGTGGCCTCACCAGTTCCAAATAGAAGGGAATAATCACTTCCCTTGATCTGCTGGAAACACTTACCAATGCAGCCTAGTGTGCTGTTAGCCTTTTTTGCAACAAGGGCACACTGTTCGCTCATAGTCTGATTATTGTCCACTGTAGTCCCCAGGTCCTTTTCTGTAGAGCTGCTGCTTAGCCAGTCAGTCCCTAGTTTATACCAGTGCATGGAATTGTTCCATCCGAAGTGCAGGACTTTGCACTTGTCTTTATTGAATTTAACGAGATTTCCTTTGGTCTAATCCTCTAGTTTGCCTAGGTCTTTCAGAATTCCAGCCCTATGCTCCAGCATATCTACTACTCCCTGCAGCTTGGTGTCATCCGCATATGTGCTGAGGGTGCACTCCATCCCATCTTTTAGATCATTAATGAAGATATTAAACAAAACCAGTCCCAGAATTGACCTCTGGGGACTCCACTTGATACCGGCTGCCAACTAGACATCGAGTCATTGATTACTATCCTGTGAGCCCAATGATCCAGCCAGTTTTCTATCCACCTTACAGTCCATTCATCCAACCCATACTGCCTTAGCTTGCTTGCGATAATGTTGTGGGAGACCATATCAAAAACCTTGCTAAAGTCAAAGTATGTCACATCCGCTGCTCTTCCCACATTCACAGAGCCAGTCATCTCATCGTAGAAGGCAATTATGTTGGTCAGGCATGACTTGCCCTTGGTAAATCCACGATAACTATTCCTAATCTCCTTCTCCTCCAAGTGCTTAGAAATGGATTCCTTGAGGACCCGCTCCATGATTTTTCCAGGGACTGAGGTGAAGCTGACTGGTCTGTAGTTCCCTGGATCCTCCTCATTCCCTTTCTAAGATGGGCACTATGTTTGCCCTTTTCCAATAATCCGGGACCTCTCCCGATCACCATGAGTTTTCACAGATGATGGCCAGTGGTTCTGCAATCACATCAACCAATTCCTTCAGCACCCTTGGGTGCACTGCATCTGGCCCCATAGACTTGTACATATCCAGCTTTTCTAAATAGTCCCTAACCTGTTCTTTCACCACTGTTGGCTGCATACCTCCTCTCCAGACAGTGCTGCCAAGTGCAGTAGTCTGGGAACTGACCTTGCCTGTGAAGACTGAGATAAAAAAGGCATTGAGTACTTCAGCCTTTTCTGCATCATCTGTCACTAGGTTGCTTCCTCCATTCAGTAAGGGGTAACATTTTATTGGCTTTTGTGGTCACTGCTGCACATTGAGCTGATGCACAGGGGGTACATACAGGTGCACATGCACCCCCTGAGATTGGCGATGCACCCCCTGCGAAAAGTACCACAGACGCTGCTGGGAGATTTCACTGTGCACACCCATCTCCAGGTTACTGATGAAAGTGTTGAACAAAATAAAGCCCAGCACAGATCCCTGCAGGACCCCACTTCTGTCTTCTAACCATCCTGAGAAGTCACCATTTAGCTCTCTACCCCTTGCTTCCTATCTTTTAATAAGCTCTCAGTCCACAAAAGAACTTTCCCTCCAATCCTGTGGCAACACAGGTTTTTTTCTTTTAAAGCCTTAGATGAGGGACATTGTCAAGTGCTTTTGGAAAGTGTAAATATATTGTCAACTAGATCCCCCTTGTCCACATGCTTGTTAATACCCTCAGATAACTCCAGATTGGTGAGGCAGGATTTCTCTTCATAAAAACCACGTTCACTCCTCCCCAGATCATCATATTTGTCCACATGACTGCTGATTTTATTCTTTATTATAGTTTTCACCAACTTCCCAGGGGTCAAAGTGAGACTCACTGGTCTGTAGTTCCCAGGATCACCTCTGGAGCCCTTTTTGAAGATGGGTGTTATGTTGCCAACCTGCCAGTCATCTGGCATAGAGGCAGTTTATAACGATAGGTTACATATTATTGCCAGTAATTCTGCAATTTCACCTTTAGTTTATTTCAGAACTCCTAGTTTTGGTGTAACCACATTTGCCTAAACTTATAGGAAACAAACAATACATAAAGCCCACATATATTACTATACATTACGTACATCTTTATGTGTATTATTTTCCATACTGGGCTATTCGTTAAGCTTACAGTGGTAAAATAGCTCGTTTCCCTGTGTGCTATTCTTTAATTTCCTGTGATATAATATTATTGATGCAGAGGGCTATTTTTTAAAATGTTATCTCTGTGTGAATAAAAACAGCAGTTACACGGTAACATGGAAATAACGTTTCTCAAAAGTCATGCCTTTGGATATAAACTAAAAGGTAGAGAAAAAACTCTCCTATGGAATTGTGTTCCACAGTTAGAGCTTTAATGCTTTCCTTAGAAGAATTAGCCATCTCTGGATATTGCTAGGAGTCAATACTATCTCTTGTATTGGCTCTTCCTCGCTTACATTTTTCTTGTGATACTGCTGGAAGGGAAGTACTACAAATCATATTTACCTGATAACAGCTGTTCCTGAACCACAGTCAAATCTGAACTCCACGTAGCCAGCCACCATGTTAATGGACAGGAAGTCCTTGCTGTCAGTGTCATAGCTGTACAAAAGGACACCATTCTCCGAATCAGGGCGAAACATCATCTCAAACTCCATGAAGGAAAGATAGTTCTGTGGTTCCAATGGCCAGGGTGTGGTAGCAAATGACCTCAAAGACATGTTGAATTGAGGTATGACCAAAGCAAATGCTGAAAATCCAGAATACAGAAGGACATCATTTGAGGCACTTGACGTCATTTGAGGACGTCACGTTTTATGGACTCGTCTCACTAACCAATTTTATACAGTTCTCTTTGTTCTATTTCTTTCTTCCAAAGATTTGTATTGGACAATTATTACATATTTTATAGTGTGTTATGATATAAAACATAAATTAGAGAGCAGGAGGCCTTGTCTTGATAAAGAAAAAAAAAGTGATCTTTTTACACTGCTCAAGGGAATAAGAGTCAGTCAAACAGCAGAGTTGGATTTGTACATTCATGGTGCAGGTCTCCATTAAGGGCTACAGCTACAGCCCTCTGTTAAGGACTAAAGCTACAGCTTTCTCAAGAAAAGCTGCAGGAAGCATCATCTCTCCTGGAGACTGTGTCTAAAAACAGATTACCGATTTAATATGCATCACAGCCTTTTGTGCCACATGAAATCCAGACCTTGCAGACAACCAAGATCAGCATCCCACATTGAACAAGTGCAGCTAATTCAACCTAATTGCTATTGAAGCTTAGTATGTAAATGCCTGGGCTGCACCTGTTTTGATGCAGTATCTTGGCCTAATCAGGGCTGCATCAAACCCTTAGCCATAATGCCACTTGCCACTCCTAGACATAATGTTTTCTTTCCCTCCCCCTTCAGAGTGGCTAGCATGGCAGGGAGCATGAACTGGAAGGGGCTCTGAAGTGCTCCTGTGCAGGCATCCAAGGGAGTGTGGAGTGTTACCCACTCCCCCGTGTGAGGTCCAGGCACAATCTAGTCTGCAATATAATAATACAAAACATAACACATACACACATGGCATTCATTACCTTCTGATCAGAAGGCATTATGTGGTATATGACATACATGTACTTTCAGGAGTACAGGGCTGTTCCCTGACTGACTTATGTAACATCCAGGACCATTTATTCAACTGAGAAAATGTACCAAACATCAAATAATTTGTAGTCAGGAATAAAAGTGATTTAGTGTCCTCTCACCTTCTTCACAATGACGGCCTTTAAATCCAAGTGGGCAAAGGCACATGTATGAATCAGCTTTACTTGCTGTGCAGGTGCCACTATTGATACAGGAAGCTTCATCGCAAATTCCACTGCTGCATTCACCTAAATGCAGAACCAAAACATTGATTTATCATACAAGCCAACCCAAGAGAATTTATTTCACTACTCATTCACTATTATGACAAATGCAATTTGCTTCCCATTAAACTGAACTCTCTTCCAACACTGCATAACAGGAAGCACATTTTAAGCAAAGTTGTCCAATTCCAACATTTAGTGGCACAGAAGAAAAAAAAAAAAAAAATGGTAAAAACACAACCAGGAAACATTCTTACAGTTTGAGCATTCACCAGACTCTAGGATTTTCCTCCCTTCACAATGCTTATTTCAAAATTCCCAAATGTCACCAGATTGTTTACATTATAAGCAGCCTGATTTGTTTAACTTCAATTATCTTAAGTGCTTCTTTGTTCATTCAAAGTTTGTGCTAAGTATGCTAAGCACTGAAGGTGCTAAGCAGCAGCTCTAATCTTATTAATTGGTATGTAGTTGTTAACTGTTCTGTCTGCACTGCAGGGGATCCATATTACCAGCATATGGACTTTCTAATCACCATTTCCACCATGTAAGGAGCAGGAAGATGCCCTGAGGTAACAGTACTGAAGCTGAAAGAGGGATGGATTTCCTTATTTCCTTCTTACAGCTAACTTTTAATATTATTAAATAAGTGTCCAATACTAAAAATACATATTCGATGAACTATCACTTTACCTAGATTTTCTTTTTCTTTATAGTATTTAAATTGTGAATTGTATTTAAATCATGCCCCCTGTAGTCTAGACAAATTCATTGTAAACATGAACTGATGAGGCCCAGACCAACATATTAGCTGTGGGTGACTATGAACAAATTGATAATGCTTCTGCAGTGCTTTGAATACCTAAAGTGCTCAGCAAAACATTTCATGTTTGGGTGCCTTCAAACATACTCTCCAAGATGGGATGTGTATAAGGAGAGACCCCAGGGCTCTCGGTGAGCAGTGTCAGAATGAATCACTTAAGATCGTTCAAATACAGAAACGTGGATCCATCTGAGTGGGAAGCAGAATCAAAAGTGAAAAACAGGAAACAGCCTTGCTACCTGGGGTGACTGGCATAAGTTTGGCATATCTATTATTGATTATTGATGAGAAAAGAGTGAGCATACCATGTGGAAAGATTGACTCGGGGGGCCCTGCAGACCTCAGCTGTGGTTCCAACAGCTCAAACTGTAAAGTTTAATTTCCTATCTATATTCAGCGTGCTGAGAACTGCAGCCAAAGAACTTCTGTAGAGTTTTCCATACATCATCAACCTCCATTCAGCCACTCATTTCAACAAGGGTTAATAAACTGTGTTGTCCTGTTTCAAGAACAAGACCACTACTATACTACACAACTTGAAATACAACCTTTTGGGCACAAAGCCACAAAGAAGCCAGAAACAGAAAAAATCTATTAAGTTTTATCCGTCCTCCTGTCAGTATAGACTTGTTTCCTACTGTACGTTTATAAGTGTTCTGTCAGGCCTACTTTTTAGCAGAACAAGTCATGGTCTGATCACACTATTCACAGCAGACAGCACCAGAGACCTAACTAAAGGGCCTCAAGCTAATGTTAGGCTAGCACATCTCTTCAGGGGCAGGAGATATACTATCTCTATGTGGAAAGAGACAACTATCCTGTTAAATAACTTTTCTGCCAGCCAGACATGAAAACAGACATACTTGCAATGCCTTCCACACACCTTCCTTTCTCACAAGTTTCGGAAGCCCAGTAAGACCTTCCTATTTGGACAGGCAGTTGTCAAACAAAACAAGGTTGAGATGTTGTTTATGGGGTCTCCATTTTATTTTGATATTCTAGTTCCCTTTTTAGCTGTTTTGGTCTTCCTATCACTCTTCTATTTTTAATTTATTCTGTTTTCTCACTGTAAACCACCCTAAGCCTTTGTTGGGAAGGGTGGCATATAAATGAAATTAAATAAATAAATGCACAAATAAATAAAATACAATTTTGGTGACCACAGAGAAGATGGGTAAGAGGGGACCGGGGATCCTGCTGTACCATTTTTCATATGAAAATGTATACCCCATTTTAAAGATTTCTAAATGACACACTGCACATATATAGCACCTATGTTTTAGGCTTCTGTACCACTTAAAATTAACAACAACAACAACACCATCACATAGATGAGTAGCACTACCCACATTTTATAGACAGGGAAACTGAGGCAAGCAGTACATGACAAAGCCATGAACAGACCTCAGGATTACCAACTTCCAGTCTGGTTCTCTGACTGCTAGATGATATATTTTATAAGTCTTTAGGCTGAATTTTCTAATGGCTTGCAGGGTCATCTGCCAGTATAAGCAATTCAGCACTGTAGTGCTTCCACAGCAATCATTCCATGTGATTTGTGCAGATAAATGACAAAGTTGTTCATCCAAGATATGTCTCTCAGAGCAGTGGTGAAATCCAGGCTCCATTCAGGTGAATAACAACACTTCCACTGATTTCAGTGGGCTTAAGATTTCACCAAAAATGTATAGTTCTCCTTAGGATTCCCAAATCATGTCAGCTTATATGAGTTTATTGCTTTGGGAAAACCACTAGTAACTCATCAAAAACAGAAAAGTAGAGCTGGAAGGAACCATCAGAGGCCATCTCATCCAACCCCCTGCCTGAGGTACCATCCCTATCCAAACCACCCTATACAAATCCATTGTCTAATCTCGTAGCAAAATTACAGTCAACCCTCACACAATTACAAGATACAACTAAGGACCTACCTAAATCATGGAAGAAGTTCACAGAGTAGCAACGCCTTTAATCTTGCGTTTTGCTGCATGCATACCCTCTTGCCCCTGCCACTGAGTGGCTGAGAGGCAAAAACTGCAGTATTAATTGCCTCTTGGCTACTCAGTGGATGGGGAGTGGGGAATGCAAGCAGCAAAAAGAGTGAGATTAAAGGTGCTACTGTGCCGAGAACTACTGCCACGATTTGGTAGATATAACAGCCTAACCTGCCACAAGTAAAGCATAGAAGCTAAAATCCTGCCGCTGCAAAGGTTAAGGTATGTTCAAGAGATCCAAGGAAAAGGGCCATGACTCCCTCCCTCTACCCCCACTACAGAGAAAGGCAAAAACCCCATAGTCCATACCAATCTAACCATGGGGTAAAATTCCTTCCGGACTCCAAGTATGGGAATCAGTCTGACCCTGAGCAGACGGACAAGACCCTCTAGCCAGACACCTCCAGGTTTAAGGCCCCCCAGGAGCACTAGCACATCCCAGTCCAAGTCCCCCAACTTTGGCTCCAGCCAATATCCAATGCTTCCAAGGAAGACAACCCACTTTCCCCGCTACATACACACATACAGCAGCCAGGAGTTAACAGAATCCTCATGGTACAATTTAAGAATAACAAGTTACTCCATAATTTACACAAACCCTCACTACTCTTAGGTTTATGCTCACTGGGGAAGGAGTCTTTTTGCTAGTTTTTGGCACATGGAGGCCCTGATCCCTGGCTGGGAACCCGAAGTCCTACTACAGAATAATCAGGAAGTGGTGATAAATCTTAGGAGTGAATGAGAGGTCTCAAGAGGGAAAGAAAAAGGTATGGAGAATTCAATTAACACACTTCATAAAGAAAAATCAATTCATTACAAAGATATCTAGGGACCAGGCCTGAACTAGACTCCCCTCAGTGGTGGTGTAAGCACCTACTCTGGATACTTTAAAAAAAACACTTGGATGCCTATCTTGCTGGGATCATTTGACCCCTGCCAACCTCCTGCCCCTTGGGCAGGGGGCTGCACCTGATGATCTTGTGAGGTCCCTTCCAACCCTAATATCTATGAAATCTGTATTTCAAAGCATGTGACCTCCTCCTATTCTAATCACTGGATAGATCAATATTTATTTATTACCCTGGAACATACAGATTCAATAAAAGGAACCAAATTAAGCAGCCATTATGGCTTTTTCCCTTATTCAATGCAGTATTAATCACGACTGTGGCCACCTGAATTTAACAAAGGACTATGTTTAAAAGTCAAGTTCTGAAGTACATTTGATGTTCAAATTCTGTATCTAACAGGATTTGGCCCTATAATTAAACATACAACAACGTTCTCTGTGCCAGATATTTAAACCTGGCAGATGGAATAATTCAGACTTCAGGCAGTCTCTCTTCTCTTTTTTTCCATGTTCTCTGGAATGTGGTATCAGTGATTTATACAGAGTGCAAGCAGAACAGAAAGAAAAGGTTGGCAGGCAACAAATCTAATAGACTTGAGGAACTACTTCCAGGTTATTTATATCTCCACTTTTTAATCTCCACGATTTTATATCTCCACTTGTATCTCCATTTTCCATATTGTTTGCAACACCTTATGGCACAGGTTCTACCGAGCTCCACAACTGTGGAATGTATCATGGTTCTGTTGTTCAGCTCTGAGTCACACATGGCAAAATCCAGTATTTATTTTAGTTGAGGTTGATTGTTAAGGCAACAGTGTGTGGAACGCTCAGGGCTGGGAATGAATCTAGCTGGGCCCCAAGAGACAATATAGATTAGGGATCAGAAAACTTTAGAAAGGTTTTAAGCTATATATATATAAATTCCATAAGTTCTCACTCTATCGTGAAATTACTCTCTCTGCTTCCACGATCTTATTCTTTTCAGCATCTGCTTCCCAGGCTGCTTTGATATTGCACAGAAGTCTGGCCAGTTTATCTAGACCACACAGAGCAACTGTTTATGTGTTTCACACTAATAATGTTTTTAAATTCCAAATATAAAACTATGAAGAAAACAAAGATGACTACCTGGAGTATGGGATGGAGAGTAAGGAAGTAGAGGGGGGTTTTTTCCTGTCTTGTTGCTGACCTACTGTGCACCCTTGAGCAAACCTATTCAGACTGTAATCCTATTGAAAGAGAAGTTCCCAAAGGATAGATGCAATATGGATAAACAACACACTCATTATGCATGCCTCCACTTCCTCATCTGTATAATGCAGATAATAATGCAATTCTTCCAAACAAAGTTGTAGCATTTAGTCACTAACAGGTTTCAAGCCCATTAGGAACCAAAGAAGGAAGACTATGTTAAGTTTGTTGGCAAAGAAACACATTAGCTAACACAGTCTTCAAGAATAAAGCTCATTTAAGAGGCCTTCACGGTTTGCAGAGGAAGACTCTTTTTATGTTAAGAATTTTGATAAAAATTTGATTTTCCCCACTTTTCCTACAGCAAGTGCTAATGATATCTCTGGGCAAAAATGTTCACTGTTGTTGAGTTCTGAGGGATTATCTTCAATGTGTATTTGAAGTGCAAACTTAAAGGTCAGGTTTATACTATAGATTTCTACTGGCATAACTGCATCAATTGGGTGTGTGAAGAGATGCAAACCCAACAAACAGCTGTGACAAAAGAAGCTGTTAATGTAAAAAGAGTTATATCATCAACAACACTGGTCTTTTACCAGTACAGCTTCTTTCAGACATGGAAAGTAGCTTAGGCATACCAATATAAAGCATCACTTTGCTTCTATATTCATATCTATGAGGAACATTTTGCCAGTATTGTGTGCCAGTATTCCCATTCAAATGGTGTACAGGCCTTCAGAAAAACACTGTACAAAAAACCCCACAGACCTCCCACTTCAACTCATAAACAGAATGCAGCCTTTTGATTGTTCACTTGGAAGAAAATAATCCTATTGTTTGACATAAATAAAGAACCTCACAACATTGCACTTACCTACATCAGCACCACTTAGAGTCTTCCCTAGTGGCCAGGGTCTCATATCAATTATCCTCCCATTGACAATGAGTGACTGAACACAGCCCTGAAAGCCACGATTGGTTCCTGCTGCTCTGACCAACCAATATGCACTAGGAGCACCACCAAGATAGAAAGGAGTCCGGAATGTAATTTTACTGTACTGGCCCTAGAAGGGAAAACAGAGCTGTTGAACTACATAAAACCACATGTGATGCATATCATAAGCTAATAAAGGCATCTCATTAAGTGATACTAGGTAATAACATCTTTTTTCCTCCATGAAGAACAGTCTTTGAGGTATTATAGACTGTTCACTGGGAGTTCTTTCACATCATCCAACCCTCCTTCTACAATATTATCATTCTAAACATTACTTTTTATGTCTATTTCTTGTCTTCAGATTTTGGATTCATTAAGGTAAAAAGAATGTTATGTTTCTTTAGACTGTGGAACCACAAGGCTTCCTTTGCCTTAAAGCTGTTCCTTCCTTTGTATGCGTCAGTAAGTCTCCAAGGTGCCACGCTGCCCTACCTTCTGCCTTATCTTCCTTTGTTTGCCTATTACACTGTAAGTTCCATGAGGCACAGATGGCTTTTGACATACGTGTCTTGGACAAGTCTGAGGAAACCATTGGTATTCAATAATATTAACAACAAAAAAACACCCTAAACAATTGTATAAATTGCATAAGTTAAGTCAGGGCAAGGATGCCTATTTTTGCCAGGGATAAATTATCTTAGGTCTGGTCTAGAAAATACTACTGGTATAACTATGCTACATAGGAAGTAAGCAAGGAATATAGGACTGAAATGGATCTCCCGAGTCACTGAATCTAATCCCCTGTAATTGCAGGCAGTCACATCATGTAATCCTTTCCATAAACTAATCGTCTTAGTCAGGGTTTTTTTCCTCTTCTTACTCCATGAAGGCTGTTCCAGAACCTCACTTCTCGAACAGTTAAATTCTTGCTCTAAATCCCAGCCTACATTTATTGATATCCAGTTTATAAACCATGTGTTCTTCTTGTGCAGCATATTCTTTTCTAGTTTAAATAGTTCTCCTCCTTCCCTGGCATTTATGTCCAAATCTATGTATACAAAACAATCATACTCCCTCTCTGCCTTTTTTTCCTAGGCTAAGAAAGGCAAAGTATCTTAGGGTACATCTACACTGCATACTTCAGGGCAGTGTTGAGATACTTGAAGTAGCACTGTACAAGCTGAGTAAATTCACCCATGTACTACTGTGCTACTGTGACTATAGCTAGCCTGAACATTTCTAGGCCACTCTACAACATACAATGTGCACATACCCTCCATCTCCTCTTGCAGGATGGACCTTCTGTTTCCCTAGTCATTCTACTAGTCCTTTCTGCACCTCCTGGTCTAACTAGTGCCTTGCACAACACTTCAATGGGTTTGCTAAAAATACATCAACTGATATATCGTAAGACTGTATTTGCCTTTTTCATATCCCCATCACACTGATATGGCCCACAATCAACCTTACATCAATTAGAACATGGGTTGGCAACTGATGGCCCATGGGCCAGATCCAGCCTGCAGACATGGGGCTTCGGCAGCATTTGTGGCATTTGGTGGCGGGGGAGGGGGGCCTTCTGAAGGCCCTTTACCCATGCCATCATGGGAATGAATAATGGCTATGGGTGCTTTCCACATGATGCCAGGGAGACAAGCAGTGATGACAGCAGGGTCCTAGCGCTCACCCCCAACCTTCAACTTGGGGTTGGTCATTATGGCCCAGAAAATGTTGACTACTCTTGAATTAGGACACAGAGCTCCTCCTTCTCTTCAGCTGTTTCCAACTGATGAGCTTTTAATTCATAACATAAATTCTTGCTATTACTCACATAACTTCACACTATGCATGTCTACACGTCAATTAATTTGCATGAATAAACTCCACAGCTTATTGCGCCCTGGAGTTTATTCACATGCAGCATGTTGAGCCACGTTGGAGCAGCCCTGGCTGGCAGAGGACCGGGGGGGGGTCCACCTACCAGCCCAGGGCTGCTCTTCCCTGGCTTAATGTGTTGTGGAGGGACTGTTTGGGGAATAAAGGGTGCTTCAGTGTAAGGCTAGCCAACATGCAGCCCCCTCATTGAAGCACCCTCATGCCCCAACCAGCTGAGGCATCATCTACACATGTGCTGCTGTGGAGTTTTTAACTCTACAGCAGGATAGTACTTATATTTACCAATAGTATCCTACCGCAGAGTAAATTCATTTACTCCAGCCTAACAGGGGCGTGTGTAGTCGTGCAACGTTTACTGTGCAATTAATTGGTCAACTGTGCAGTAAACATATTGTGTAGATGCACCTAATTTGTATTATTACATCTCATCCCATTTCTAGTACTTCAGTCCTCAGGGTTATTTTTTCTCTCAGTATGCTATTCCAATTCTTCTCTGTTGTGATAAGAGGCATAACTAGAAATTTCAGTGCCCTGGGCAGAGATGTTATGGAGCCCTGGAGAGTGAGGATGGGGGTGAAGGGAGTCCCTGTCTGCATGTTCCTGTCTCCCAGCAGATCCCAGTGTTCTCTTCCTGACCCTGTGCTCCCAGGGTCCCTGCCCGTACCTTCATTCTGAGCATCAAGTGGGGTGGTAGGGAACAGCACTCACCTCCACACTCCCCCTGCCAGCCAATTGTAGCCCAGAGGGCAGGGAAAGGTGTCACTCCCTAAGCCTTGCACTGTTCCAAACTAACCAAAGGCTGAGAGGGAGTACTCCCATGGCCCATGGCAGAATATCTGCTTGAATGGCTGCTGGGAATGCTACTTGGCACCACGCACAGCAGGAAGACAGAGAGTCTAGAAATATGTTATCTCCCAACATTGTCCCAGGACTAACATGGCTGACAAGCAGTTGGGGTGGTACTGTTGAGTCCACTAAAGCAGTGCCCAGGACTGGTGTCCTAGATTCTTACCAATCTGTTGACAAAGGCTGTGATTTTTTGCTGACATAGGTATGCTGGTAAAATGAATAGTATAAGTATAGTTCTACATGTATAACATGCTTTATACCAATATAGTTTAGTTTAGAATACCCAAGTGGGAATAAATTATGCCAGTACACACATTTTTTTACTGGTATAAGAGCACTATGCTAGGGAGTAGTTTTCAATGCATCTATTCCATCATAGCTAAAGTAAAAAACCTTTTAATTGTAGACAGACCCCTGGGGGGTTTGTAACGAAATACCACTCTCAAAGCTTATAAATACACCCCAAATGCCATATCTCATGGAATGACATCCAGAAATGACTAAAAAATGGCTCCATTATGATGGAATGTTATGGCGTGTCCTAGTGGTGGCTGCCATGGAAGAGTAGAAGTAGAGAGATGAGATAGCTAAACTGTCCTTGCCAGTTACCTTAATTTTTCTTTTGTTATGTTTCCCATGTCATAGAGGAACAGGGTCAAGACATCTTGGTTTGTAATACTACTTCTTGTCTGTGTCAGTTGACATCACTCCAGATAACTGTGGTGTTAGTTAGGGCAGAATTTGACCCTATATCCCTAGCTGCATGACAACTGCTCATAGTATACTCCTAACTGCATCTTTCTATTATTTTCTTTTTAATCCATTCCTAGATATTTTAATATTCTTTCATAATGCCATGCATGTACTTTCTACTAACATGAATTTATTTTTAATTTTATTTTATTAAACTACTACTGTGTTTTACCCCATTGTCCTTGAGGCCCTTGGATGGTTATGTTTGTGTGTAAGGTCTCTTTCCCAGCTAGGCAGCAGGAGCAGAGCTGGGATCTGTGCGACCTAGACAGGAAAGACATAGCAGAGAGCAGCAATTGCTCCAATGAGACATCTATAAGAAGCACACATGTGGGATGCTGGCAGGAAGGTAGCTGACCAATAGGATGATACAATGAGATAGTCAAGGCCCTTTAAATATTCAGAGCATAGATATTTTTCTGTCTTGGTTGAATTATGTGACTACCTATCTGGCAGAACTTTGTATAAATTGATTCTTGGCCCTTTAAATGTCCCATTGCTGGTGAAGACATGATACTTTTACATGTTTAATTCAAACTATTATCTCATAATGCTGTCACTGGCAGGAACAAATGCCATCAAAATGTACAGACAGCCATGGCTGAACCCTAGGTACAGAATTACTTACCTGAGATTTACCTGTGACTGGAGTGTCATCATCCAGCTTAAGCCAGCCATTCAGTCCATCTCTGAACACAGTGACACTGTGCCAGTTGCCCAATTTGATTTTGTTTTCACTCATGATGACTGCAACCCCAGTGCCACAATTGAACCTGAAAGAGAAATAAATAACCTAATCTTTTTTCCACATTAAAAAGAGTCTTTTCTCTTCTGAAAGCCTCTTTGTTGCTCCTTTCATGTTAAAAAGCTATATAAAAATTAGATAAATGACCAACATCTGGTCTGTTTTAGTAAAGATAAAGTATCTTTTAAAGTTCTAAACTTTTTAAATTCTGTTTTCTCCTACTATGGAGAAGATTTTGCATCCTCTGGCAATACAGAGTATATTGTGAAGCCTGCAGACTATTTGAAATGGTTTCAAGATGCAGAGTATTAGAATCTGAGTTACTGCGATCACAGTAATTTCTCTTGGGAATTTTCCTAGCTCTCTGGTGAGAGCCAGTACTATATTAATAATACTGGGAAACTCAAATCTTTCAATGCTGATTGACAAGGAGGCCTCAATAGCAGCCCATACAAAGCTGAATGTGTCCAGAATGCGAAAGAGAACAGAAACAGGATCAAGATATATCATTCCCTTTTATTTTACCACATCTTTATAGCAATTTTCCCCAGAAATTATCTCAAATGATCCTTGTATATGGAACACAGCAATCTGCGACTCTTTCCTTCTTTCTCTTTAGTGTGCCTCAATTTCCCCCCCAGTCCCAACCTTGATCTCTGCAGAGTAATAAACTGTGCTCCCAGCTAGATTCCCTTTTTAATACATGTTCTTGAGGTTATATTCATTGTGAAGTAAAGAAACTAATTGTAGGCCATTAAGTACAGCATAAACTCACACAGCATTGTGGCCCACAGACTTTTCTGCCCTTGATAAATTATAACAAATGTTCATTTTATGAAGAAATCCTTAGCAGATTCTTCTTTTGTGAAGAAATCCTCAGCCATAGGCCAAGCTGCCTGACTTTTACTGACTGTGCTCGGGGAAACCTCTGTCAGGCAATTATAAGACCTTCAGATCCCCTTTCCTTTCCTCTACTCATAAGAGTTGGAGGTGGGGGTGGAGATCTCACCTTTGGAAGGGCAGTAAAGTTTGTTACTTACCTGAAGTGAATATTGGACCGGATTATTGCCAGTGACATGAAATCACCATGTCCATGTTCATTCTCTCCACAATACAGCAGCAAACCGTCCTCTGCTTCAGCCTGTGATCATAGTATCAACATGGAAAGACAAAGTTCAGCCTCACTTCTAGAAAGTAAATGCAGCAATGACAATAGTGCAGGAACTAGTCATCTGTTTTAGAGACGGACAAATTTTCTAGACAGAATTTTCACTTGCAAACTGAAAATCTGGTGTCTCAATTACAAATCCCATATGGATGTAACCTCAAAAAATCAGTTTTATGAGAATTCTTCAGCTTTTGACCCATCTTTTCTATTTAAACTATCACAGTATGAAGGAACAGGTATGCACATTCTTATTTATTCATGGAAAGCACTGGGCAACCTTAACATAGGTGGCACTACCAGTGTGTCCATAATAAATAGCACAAATGAATGAACATAGAAAAAGCACTGCTAAATCATACCAGTGGTATAAGTGATCTTGCCATCACTGGCTGGTATTTTATTTCAGTGAAAGAAAACAACCCATAATGATATTATACATGGTAGAAGAAGGAGAAAATAACATTTTGATCTTTACAGATTATCATAATTTGTAAAAGCAAGAGAGACTGCTATTCCTCTGCGAAATGAGAAGATCAGAGGTCCATAAGTAGCTTGCATGATACAAGACATTTTTGAATTGATGGAAATTTACAAAAAAAATCAGCCCTATTTCAGACTGAGGTTCACTTATTTAATCAAAACTCTCTCAAGGTAGAGTCACCACTAATTTGCAGCTCCTCAACACTTATTTCCAGGACCTTTACTAAACACAGATGACAAACAATACGAGGGGGAAAAAATCTTGGTTAAGCTTATCAAATGCGTTTTTATTTGTGGGATGTGAACCCATATTTTAAGAGGACTGTGGATAAACCCACTTCAATATCAATCTTGCAGTATAAAATATTGAAGTTAATCACCATTCCATTGTACATTTCTCCCACCTGTGTAAAGAAATAACATTTAAAGATGGCTTCTGAGTTTGAGATTGCTTAAACTTACTCTGAATTCAAGGGTAATTTGGAATGTCTGATATGAATTTTTCAGTGGTTCAAAGGTGATGTATGAATAGCCAGAGAACTGAGGATACTGGATGATAATATCTGGAAGGCAAAGAAAAGAGCTTGTTGTTTAGCAGTTTTATCCAATATAAAATCAATATACACATATAGCACTAGATAACATCAGGTGAAAATGCAAAACAGAGCTCCTCTAGAGATAACTATTAGTCAGCAACAGTGAACAGACAGTTAACCTGTTCTTTCTTCTCCCCCTCCAAATTCCCTTTCAGAACTAATTCCCTGGTTAAGACTGGTGCACAGTCTTAACCAGATTTGGAAGCCTCTAGTCTCATCAGCGGCTTCAGTAAAGTTTCCTCCAAATTTTGCTGGGATTACTGACGCAGAATTTGGCTAGTCTTAATTCTTCTTGTTAAATGTTAAACACAAAAAGAACAAGGCATTTTCCCTTTTCAAGAAACATAACAGCATATGTTGGAAATATATAATCAGGTCAGATCCCTGGCTGTTTAGGGTTAGCCTTGCAGTGAAAAGCTGCTCTAAAGCTGATACATCTAGACAGAGAGTTCTTAGTGGTTCAGACTAGCATAACAACTCCTAGAAAATGACCATGTCCTTCTGACTAACGTAAGGGGAGGGCTCAGAGGATAAGGTATGGCCATGACATTCCTACATCCTGGCTATCCTATAATGCTTGTTGACAGCTGGTATATCAGCTCTCAGACATCTCTCATTTATGTCAACCCAGAAGATGGCAGATCTAAGACTGAAAAGAACTCACTTGAAATCTCTTCCCCTAGAGTTTGTGAAGGATTTCCCAACAATCTCTCAGAAGAGGGATATATTCTCTGTACCAGTGATAAAGCTAATGTGAAAGAAGGAATAGAGGGTCCAACTTTTCTTGATTACTTGTGTTCTGTGTGGATTTTGCATTCCCATTTGTACATAGGTGCAATTACATGAATTACACAAGTTTTATAGCCATAGTACAAAGAAACAAAATAAATGTTAGACTGGGGCTAACAGAGCTGTCATATAAAACTGAGCAAGGATAAAGCACAGATGAATTAACTGATGAAAACTCAATCACAATAAGCATTGGCCATAAATAGGCTTGATTATATTAGTGGTCCTCCAAAGAGAACTATAACACTGACAAGAATAAAGAGGAAGATGCACGTCTCCAGGCTGTTTAGCACATCATTTAATATGCTGTGCTGACAGCTAAAGAGGAGGTCACTTCTGTGCAATATTAGTGCATGGTGCCGATGAAGAAACCAAGGAATAAATGCTCCGTTAAAAGTATTGATTCAAGACTCCAATTAGCATATCCAGCCCCACCAGTTCTATATAATTATGTAATGTTAATGAGAAATGTTTAATGTTGCAGGCTCAGGGAGTAAGGACAAAAATCACATCTATAGAGGCTCCTTCCTCTGTCATAACAGTTGCTTTGCAAAATAAACTCTTTCCCCAAGAACTGTTGCTATTTACTGAAGTAAAAGCAAACAATCAACTAACTCGTGGAACACACTGTGCCGTGACTCCAGAAGTGACACCTATATAAGAAATCTGCAGCCAAATCTTGCACACAAAGTACTTTTGTGCTGTTTCAGGAGAAAGAGGCTCAAAGTCTTGGCTTTGTCTATAGTAGGCTGCTTCTGATCCCAGAGCTTCTGCCAGCAGACAGCAGCTGACACAGGGAAGCCACCAGAGTGCTTTCAATCTGCACAGCTTCTGGCAGTTCTGCATGAGTCCGTTACAGTAGCAGGGAAAAGTGTACTGCTCCCCATGACAGCTCAACAGGGAAAAGTGTACCACCCCCCATGAGAGCTCTTAATTCACATTTGATAGCGCAACCCAAGTGCTGGTGGTAAAATTCTGTAGTGTGGACTAGGCCTTCATCCAGTTCCATGAAACAAGTAATGATAATAGTATTTACCACTGACAGTATATAGCACTTTCCACATCCAAAAATAAATACATGTTAACCATGTGGATGGTAAGTACTGCTGCCAATGTGCCAGACTAGAGGTTACAATGATGTCAATTTATGGATTTAATTTTTGACTTGTGGGCACCCATTTGTTTGTGACCTTTCTCTGGAACTGTGAAAGCTGGTTTTGTTAGAAAGAACTTGGCACTTGTTGGGAAAGCTGTGTTTGAATAGCTGTGACGAAGTCATCAAGGTGCATTATCTGTGAATGACTCTCCCCTAGTGAAACAATGAGGACACTACTCATAGTACCCCCAATTATGGATGTACTCTCTATAGAGAAGCCTGCTGCTGGTGAGGAAGGGAGCTGGTTAGGGAACCAGATGAATGCTCGGGTCACTAAATGAAAACATTCTCTCTATTTCTTAAAAGTCACTCCTCCATGCCTGGTGTGGTAAAAGGGAGGGAAGCAAGGCAGCTGGTGTCTGAATGGAGGGAGAAGCTGCTCTTACGTTTAGGGCCCTGATGATACCAATCTGCATTTAAATAAAAGTATTTTTGTTGGTTTGCTATGAAACTTCAGATAACTAGAACCCAAGAACAAAAGAGAAATCTAACTCCAAGCAGTTCATCAGTTTACCTTAGTTGCAACATCATGGCAGAGGCTTCACATCATCATCAACATGCAAGCAACAATAGTTGCCAAGCTAGTAAATCTTGGCCAGTCTCCCAAAGCGAAACTCTAGCTGGGAGCCAATTAGAGAAACAATTCTGCATACCCATCAATACTTATTACATATTGTAATCCTACCTTCTGTGCATGTCTCTCCTCCTTTTCCTAGGTTACAATGACATCGAGTAGCACCCAGATCATAATCATCAACACAGAAGCTGTCAGCAGAGCAGGTGGTTTCATCACAGGAAAGATCAAAGTGCTGTACTGCTGAAGCTGGGCTAGTCCTTCTTGTTGCCTTTACGGTAGTAGTGCTAGTTGTTGTTGTGGGAACGGGACGTGTAGTTGTTGCCACTGAAGTAATAGGATGTGAGGTGGTTGTAATTAGCCTGGGAAGGAGCCTTGAATTAGATCCTGGAGAGACCTTGGTTTCAACCAAAAACTTCCTGTTACCTCCTTTGATAGCAGGAAGTGGTCTGAGCTAAAGTAAGATGAAAGAGAATTAAGTTCAATACATATAAAAGCTAAAAAATAATCATATTACATAGAAATGAAAACTACATCTCTTAGGAAGTCTGAGGAAACAAATTAATCCTAAATGAAGAGAACAGCATAAACAAAGCACTTCTACCGTAGTATCTGTGTACGTATGATTATATGCAAGTTTTCCAACAGAAGCAAATACAAAATTCTTCTAAAACAATCAACAAAAGAGCCAAAGTGGAACCTTTGATTTTACCTCTTCAATGTAAATGTCGTAGTCTGAATCATCAATTTCAAATCCATCATCATCACTGATTACAGTATCTGTGATATATCGATGCCCGTAGCTGCCACTTCCCAACTCCTCTGAACCTGTAGAGACATAGGTGGCCAATTCAGTTCACATATTTTTTTTCCTTTCAGCTCACAGCTACAACTTCCACAGCAGCTTACGCCAGAACTAAGAATACAGGTGGTGCTGGCATTCATTTTAAATCATCACTCAATACTTCAGCCTCAATGTGGAAAATTTACCATAGAGTTACTACGTAAAAAAACAAAAATAAGAAACAATATGATGCTGTACTATGATTATCTCTTTCAGAGCAGAGGCTTTCCACCTTTTTCAAGGTGGACCCCACATTAATAGCAGTATTGTTTCACAGACCAAATTCTTCCTAATTATTACTACATGGTCTATTACTCAGCATACTGGGTGCTTAAAAACATCCTTGTAGCAATGTTTTACATGGAAGAATTTAAGTTTTAATATATTTAGGGTGGTGCTAAACAAACAGTGAGACTCTTACAGGTTATTTTAGCCAATGATAATGAACAGAAATGGCATTACATGCTAGATCCCATGCCATCTTTCAGGTACACTAAGCGCACTTTGACACCTATGCATGCTTCTGTTCCACCCTGAAAAACCATTTACGCAAAAGGTAGAAGAGTCCTCTTCCTCCTTCCCATTACCTCCTGTGACATAAGGCTTTGTTGCATGGAACATTTAGCATGTGTTTTTAGCTGAGATGCAGTAAGTACTGGCATATTAAAGGTTTAGAATATGTTCTGAGCAGTCACATGGTAATGTTTGCTATGATCACTGCCCACTCAGGACAGCTGGAGAAGGCTGGCTGTACCCTCTGCCCTAATACTGACCCCAGTGCTGGGCACCACAGCTCACACGTCTGGCCTTGAGGACATGCTGATACCATGCTGGGAGCCTAAGCCCTCTCCACTGTATGCCCAGCACTACCTAGCTCAGGAGCACCTGCCCCTGGCACATGGGGGAAGTCAGGTCTTTGCCACTAGTGGCAAGAGGCACATGGAGCTGAGTCTGGGTGAGGGTGCTGTTCCTGCTGCTGGATCTGTGGGGTGAGTCAGGTCTCTGCCGCTGGCAAAGAAAGATGTGGGGGCTGGTTCAAGACTGCTGCAGTGCTGGCAGGGGCCACAGACCAACAATCAGCTGATTGTTGATCCCAGCACCCACTAGAGCTGGTTCAAGACTTGTGCCTTGTGACAATCAATGACCTGTGTTTGCATCATCTGCAAAAAATGGTCTGACAATAGCTGAACATGTATTACTTAATATGATCTGGAGCTACTCCTTGATAGCACCTAGCATATGTTTTACTGTTTGAACTCATGGATGCCCTGGGTTTAAATGCAGTTAATAAAAGTCCTAAAAAGAATGTGCAACATGGCCCTTAGTCCTAACGATAAGCTGATGGCCTGTTACAAAAGCAAAGGCAATAATGGTTTTTAAGGACTTGAGCAGGATGGAATAGGTTCACTTAGGTGGAACAAAGCCCTTAAGAACACCTCTAAATATCCCTGCATTTTCAGCAACAGTTTAAATTAGGCGCATCTAACTGATGACTGACGGGTCATAGGTCCTGGTTCATGAGTACTTAACATGAGGCCTACAAGACAAGTGGCCACTGCTCCAGCTGGCACACAGCAAGTAAGGGCCTGCAGGTCTCCAGGTGGCCCATGCTGTATGCTGGTGTTAAAGGCAGTCCCCTGGCCACAGCAGTTGAACAACCCTGATTTAAAATATGTGAGAATCAATAAACCAAAGTATTTGGTTTTGTGCTTTCCATAACATAATAACTTCGCAAACATGACTGGTTCCATGGTGTTTTATATGTAGCCTTCTGCACACACCTGCCATGCCAGGTATGGTGCTAAGTGATCATTTAAACTAGTCTTACCATGACTTGCTTAGCCGACTGTATGGGCTGAACACATCTGCCTGCTGATTTCAGCTTCTCAGAGCTGCATGTGCCATCTCTGCAGGTCAAGATGTAATTCCTGTTACAAAGTGAATGGGCACAAAGCCTGTCTAGCCAAAGAACACCTGCTGAAGGACAGTACAGGACAGGACCGTGGGTAGTCAACCACCTAAAAGAAAACCCAACCGTTTTACAGCACTGAGTCCTTCACTACCAACACTGAGAAAAGTGATGTAACTAATAAAAGATGGCAAGGCTGAATGGACTTGTAGAAGGCACAGTGTAAGCATAAGGACTCAGGATTATCAGGCTATCTGTGCTTATCTGACTTGCTGACATCTCTTATTGCAATAGGGGAAAAAATCTCAGTGACCTAGAGTCACGAACAGAAGTGCATGTATAAGTGCTAAGGTGTGCAGACAATGACTGCACAAGAGGAGGTGCACTGTTTGTCTGTCTTTTGCTTTTTCTTCCACTGCCACAACTGCAGCCCAGGCATTTTTGCTGCAGACAGTTATGAAAGCCAACATGTGTGTGCCAGGTATGTGCACATGTTGTTCTTTTGCTAAAGAGATTCACAGTACACTACATGCTATCAGTTTTATCTCTGGATGGGATCCATTATATTAGCGCACAGCACAATTAGGAAGCATTTTGACAGAGATAATGAGGCATCTGTTCTTTCAGCCAAAACAATCTGCCATTCCATTATAAAAAAGCTGCAAGACTTTTAATCCTGTGCTATCCATATATATCGAACATCACATAAGATGGCATATGAGCCTCATGTTAACTGGAAGTATTTGACATAAATTACAGATTAACCGTAGAGTTCTAGAGTTTAAAAGATAACCTAAGCTCTAAATATTTTGGTAAAGCTTCAAGGCTAACTGGCCCTCCGCAAGCCCTCCATGTAAATTACTGAAAGGATTGGAGTGGCCTTGGATTCACGTTGCTTTCAGTGCCTGTATATGCATAGGTAATGATTACTACAGTTAAACAGAGAGAGAGTAGAGATTAGTCCCAATCCTGCTTTCAGGTGGAGGAGACAAGTAGTACTATTAGGTAGTTATGCTGCTTTCATGTCAGGAAAAGATTACCAGATGGATGGCCCTCTTCCCCACTTCAACAGTTATGGCAAATTGTATTTCATGAAACGTATGTGTTTCCAGAACAGAATCTCACAGTGTGCAGAAAAATAAGGAAAATAAGAATAGCCACAGCAGTGACATTATAATTTAAACCTGCAGTATACTGAGGAGTGGTTTGAAAGAAAAGGAGCCAATATTCTCACCAGCTCACAGTGGATGGAGGAAAGCTCAGCCCACAAGAATACCTTAACTTTTATGTCAACTCTTTAATATCAACAGGGGCTGAAATACTCTCTAAGAAAGGTGTTTATGTGCTTTCTCTGTCAAAGCCAACCTAATTCTTTCAGTTATATCTCTGATTTGTTGATTGGAACGCAGGCCAGGAAGCTGGGGACCAAGAAGTGGAAAGGAACAAAACATGGATCAATAGGACTATACAAGACTGGTGATGTGACAAGGAAAGCATAATCAGATTTCTGACGTGTAAAATATGGAACATGACTTTTCTAATTCTGAGGTAAAACACCAGAAGTCATATTTGTTAAAGGCCAGATCCACCATGTCCAATTCTTTTATCAAGCAGAACTTCCTCTGATTTTAACTGGATTTTCAGTGAGTATGGGTGGTTGCATCCAACTGATAAAAAAGCTAAAGCAGGGAAAGCAATCTTCTTCCTGATACCATAGCTATGACAAAATGTTAAAAGCCCAAATCTGTCCACATATATGTAAGCCATATACGATTTTGATTCCAGGTCAGCTTGACACTAGTGAACTCCCAACTTCAATAGAGTTACTACTGAATGGCACACTCCAAATGAAAACATTATTAGCACACTAAATGAAGAGAGATGGACAGCTCTGAGAGTAGAATTTGCCTTTTTTTCCATTAATTGAGTGCTGACACGAAGCACTGAACAAAGGATTTTCACCTGCTATTTTAAATTAGACAATACCTTTTTGTCATTTTGAATTTTGCTGGCATAACATTCAAGCATGTAGACAGATAAAATACGTGTTTCGTATAACTGAGGCCTTTCTTCAGAGGATTTTGGGCTAGTATAGTGGCTGTCATTTTATTAAATGGGAGGATGTGTAAATTTGGCATTTCTGGGACCGAAACATCTTCAAAAGGTGTCCCCGTATTCACAAGCTTCTTAGGCTTTCTGAAATTCCTTCCTTCACCTATCTGACCCTCCGATACAGGACCAAATTATTTGGCAAATCTCCCAGTGATTAACAGGAGCCTGAGTGTGCTCCAGGATCAGAGCCAAACCTAGTTTAAAAAGCAGGAACTCAATTTTCAAGCTAAAATCATAAGGAAAAGCTGAAGAGGGTTTGTTCATATGGACATGAAAAGTTCAGTGGACAACTAAGTAGTTGCAGGCAGCACACATACAATGTGACCCTCCTTGCTGACTTGCAAATGAACTCAGATAAAGAATTTATTTACTTGTAAGGACAAGAGCAAAACCTAGGAGGTGTATCCTCATCTTGCTTTGTCTAGATTGGTATGGGTGAATACTCACATGTCAGGATGAGAATCAGTGTTTTCATTTCATATTAGTGTGCATCATATTCTCTCTTGGGTCATATGATGTGACATGATTCCTACATATGACATGATGCAACATAAATAAAATAAGTAGAAAACAGGGAAGCTAAGTGGGTATTTTTAAAAGAACCAATGAAGTACCTATGTCATAGAAACACTGCATAGCTCTAGTGGATAACTCACTGCATACTAGGTAACAAATCAACAATAATTAGACAAAGTGGTGTTTTCCAAATACCAAAACAATGACTAGAAAGATTATAAGCATGCTATATCACATTAGTGTTTCAGTGTGCAAAGAGATGAAGCCAATTTAAGACACTCTACCAGCCCTGTAATCCTGTCCCATAATTAATTGGAAAGCCTGCAGGGAGTCATTGACATAAGACATCCTCTCTCCAAATAATCAGGGATTAAAGTTGTGCTAAAGAAGCCTGTTCAAAATAAATAGAAATCAGTACAAACTGTTGTTATTATCAGATAGGCAGCC